TCCTCCTCTCTCTCTCTCCCTCTCTCTTTCTTTCTTTCTCCCTCTCCTTGTAATTTGATAGAAAATTTTTAATAGAAATTTTTTGTTATATATATATTTTTTGAAATATAGTTACATTTTGCAATTTAAATTTGAATAATTAGAAAAATCATTTCAATATTATTGTTAATTTCATTTTCAACAAATTGATAACATTTAATCTTGTTTTTTCTTCTCTCTCTTTCGATCTATAAAATTTAAAAATAATGGAAGCAAAAGAAAAAAGTAAGTAATTATTGTTATTAAAAGTATTTCCAATAGTAATGACTGATAAAATTGCCAAATTATTTCTAATATTTTTCTTCAATAATATTTCGGAATCTTTTTTTTTTTTTTTTCTTAAATATTTTGATATCATTTTGACAATTATTGTTACTTTCTCTGTGTTATCACTTAACAAAAAAAAAAAAAAATTAACTATACGATTAAACGGGTTCTATTGTTGTTGTAAACTAATAATTATTTATTAAACAATGTTATGCAATATGTATGTTAAATCTAATTAATTAATTAATTACATTGCTATTTTTAAGTTATTCATTCAAATTTGATCCTAAATTGATGAAATTACTAGCCAACCGATGGTTATACTGTGTTTATACTGTAGAATTTGCTGTTATTATTATTGTTATTATTGGTAATTATGTTCGATTAAAATTTCCCAATTTAATTTTCATTAATTTATGATTAATAAATAAATAATTTTTTAATCTCTTGCTTATTTATCATACTATGCAGTAAATACATTCTTTTTTAATTTATCAATATCAAAACTTTTTGTCATACTTATTTGAAAAATTAACATTCATTAATAATAGTTTCCACACTTTAGGAATATATTTCAATAACTTTACGGTAACAAAAACTCTCCTCTGAGGATTTTTCAACTTAGTTAAAATTAAAATTTCAAAATTTACATTCATTATATATATGCATATATAACTATATGCAATTTTGATAGACATTTTTCTTTCCTGCTGCTTTATTTTACTCATTACCACTAATTAAGTGCCATCAATTATTTTTTCTTTTTTTTTGTTACATTTTTACAATTTGAGCATACATGCTGAAGAGAACAACTTATTGCTCGCTATTGAAATATATTTTAAGAAATAGAAAAAGTTGATTTGATGGACACTTTTCAGTTACATATCTCGTCTTACTTTAAAACGGTCATGATCTACCTTAAAGTCTGAATTGAACATTGATATGTTATGAAATAAATGATAGCAATGTGTTTTACCAAGAACCAATCTTCTTCACAATCTGGACAAGTACTGTTTGCGGTATCATATTCATCGGTTTCTCTAAAATAAGTTAGAAATGATCCACTGATATTATCAAGTTCTATCATTACTGAATGATCTGTGATGTAACATAAACATATTACGTCATCG